TGTTCAGTGCCTGTGTTTTGGAAAATGACTGTAAAGCTATCTGTCTTGCTTATGTAAAGAATTCTATATTCTCTCCCCAGCAGCGCCGGGCAGGGCTTGTTGGCTTGCATAGTGGAAATGAGAATTGTGCCAGTGTATTCGAGAAAAGAAAATGCCACAGAATGGGAAGTGCTGAATTTAATTTAGAAACCTAATTCCCAACAGAGCACGGCTGACAATCCTATTCAGACACAAACCCACTGTTTGGTACACAAGAAACCTCTCATTCACTGCAATAAATTACTCCAGAAACACTGCTGCTGCCAACCGCATTCTTGTGGTTCTTTTGAGTTCTTCCTCTTTGGATGTGAAGACAGCTAAAGGGTGAGGCATTTTTAAGTAAATAGCAAAGGACAGGCAGGGCGATACCATCCTGTAGAGTGCCCTTTGATCAGCTGCAGATACGAGTTTTGACCGTTATTATATAGATGGATTTGTTGCCTTTTGGACAAGAAGATAACTGTTTGCCTGGCCTCCGTTCCATTTGGGACTTGGGGCTGTTATACCGATGCACGGATGAGTTTGAGGCTTGGCAAACTGAATAGCTCTTTGGTGGCCACGTGTGAGAGCAACAGGCAAGGATTTTAAAACAAAGCTTTTGGGGAAACACGTCATGCATCCAAAAGGGATTTTCAGGCTTTCTGTAACAGTATCGTAATCGAATGTTTGGAGCAGCAAGATGCCAACGGGCATTGCTGTATTTCGCCATGTCTGAATTATTGAGGTAGTTTGCTGCTGTAGAAAGATTTTTTTTTTTAAAAATGCACGAAGCCCCAGAAGTGGAACCCTCTCCTCCAACAAATTGCTCCTAAATCTCACTAATTCACAGATGATGTTTGCTAAATTAAAACAACTGATTTCTATTTGTGGAACCACAGTCACAGACTGAAAAGTGGTTAGGCAGAGCACACGCTCACTCATGCACTAGATCTGCTGCCAACTCAATTCAGATTTTCTCACCTTATTCACTAAAGAAAGCGTGTGCGTCTGTCAGCCCTGCCAATGTCAGTGCCCAGGCGATCGCAAGTTCTAGGCTAGTCTGTCTTGTGCTGCATCAACCCAATGCATGTGTAGTCTAGCGGCAGACTCATTACTTCTGGTGATGGTGTCAGAGGCAGGAAGATCTCAGGTGGGATTTGCGAGGATGGCGGTTTGAAAAAATAATCAGTTAATCTGTAACTGAAGCGTGTGTGTTCTGAACTAAGTCAGGGTGGATGAACATGGATCCTCCCAAACATCCTCCCAGGTCCTCAAGAAAATTGACTCCTCTTTGACTTTTGCTCTTGGTTTTAAAGTGCTCTTTCTTAAAAGGTCCTAAAAGAAAAATATTCCTCTCAGGGATCAGTGGGCAAGTAGTTGTTGGATCTTTCAAAGCGGCTTTACGGTTCACCTTGCCTGGAGGTACAGTGCATGTGCAGAGTGTTAATAGCTATGAGGTAAGCTTCTGCCTAAGGAGAGAGAGATGAAGAACTGCTATTCAGGACCCATGTTTATTTGATTTATGATTTTGAAATGTTTTCCACACGCCGAGCAGAGCGCGCAGTCAGCAGAGATATTTGCTAACAGGACTTATAGAGCCTTGTCTGGGAAAACAGAAGAGACGATTCAAACCTCGTTTTTTCCTAAACGCTGTGCCTGTGAAAACGGCAATTACTATTGGTTCTATAATATGTCATTTTAGTGGGCCTCAGGGAAAAGGCAAACTGACCTGCATGGCCAGGCCTGCCGCTGGGGGGTAGGGCAGAGAAGGCACTTGCCCCAGGGCCCGGCGATACGCAGGAACTCCGGGTCCTATTGAATTGCTGCCAGAGAGCTGCAGCGCTGCTCTGAGGCCTAGGGGGAGCCTTTGCCCCACCCCTTCCACCTGAGGCCCCGCCTCTTCTGGGCACACAGAGCCTGCCCCCTCATATCGTACACTAGGACCCACGGTGGCCCCGCTGTGTATAGCTCTTCTCTTGCAGATGCTGGTTCTCTTTTTGGACCTAATCAGATGTTCAGTCCTTTTATAATAATAGGAATGCACCCTCCTTTGCGGGGCTGGAGCCTTGCCATGTGGATAGCCCTAGTGATCTAATGCAGTGGTTTGCAACTTTTTTTTTCATTTGCAGTCCCCCAACAAACTTCCAAATGGAGGCGCTGACCTCTTTGGAAATCTTCAGCATAGTCTGAGCACCCTGCCACAGGTTGTAAATCTCTCTTCTGTGGTAACAACAAGCTTTCATGGAACCGTAGACACAGTCTGCGAACCCCCAGAGGTCCACAGACGTCAGGGTGAGAACCACTGATCTAATTCATCCTTCACGGTAGAGTAGCTTCTGTTGCGCTAATTCAGGAAGAGGGTGAGGGCAATGACCAGCTTTGGCTAGGAGTGAACCTATTGTCCTTTCAGGTGCTTTTCGTGAAAAAGGGGCCTGGTTAAGGTCTACACCCTTTCTTACAATAAGAGAGGAAGGGGACGTCAAGCTAAAAAGTTGTGACAGAGGAGGGAGAAAAATTATTCTCCTTAACCTCTGATGATAGGACAAGAAGCAATGGGCTCAAATGGCAGCAAGGGAGGGTTCAGTTGGAAATTAGGAGAAACTTCCTAACTGTCAGGGTGGTTAAAAAATGGACTCAATTGCTTAGGGAGGTTGGAGGTTTTTAAGAGAAGGTTAGACAGACACCTGTGAGGGACGGTCTAGATTAGTGGTTCCCAACCTTTTTTGTACCATGGATCCATTCACAAACTTTTGGTGAACTGGTATAATTTTATTTGCATATTTGTATATTCATTATGCAAATAATGAATATGCAAAGAAAATGTTACCTGTCTGCCAAAAGACCCGGTCCCCAAAGCCTCTGCGAGCAGTCAGCTTCAGCTCCATTAGTTGCCATGTGGCGGGTGGCTGCTGAAGCTGTCTGTTTGCAGAATACCGTAGCCCCCTGAGCCCTCTAGTGCCAGCCCTAACCACTAGAGCTCCCCACCCCTCCCCTACTCCCCAGTGCCAGCCACTTACCCCACAGTCCCCTGCACCCAACCCTCCCAGTGCCAGCCTTCCACCTTCAGAACCCCCGGTGCCAGCCCCCATCCCAAACGCCTCAGCCTCAGAAAACCTGATTGAAACGGGAGTTAAAGCAAAATAAAACAAGTTCCTCAAAACAGAAGAACACTCCCCCCTTAAACCACCACCCAGAACTATTCAGAAGAAGGAGAATGCTTGTGTACCACTAGACTAGTGTCCAATCACATCTTTGGCAAGAACCAGTTAGGACCCGTTAAGAAAATTCCTCAGTCAGAAGTTGGGTTACATTCATATTTACTTTAAAAGGTGGGAGCTGTGCAGGATTTAATAAGTGACTTTAATTCCCATCATAGAAAGCTGGGCAGAGAAGGATGAGAATGAACCAGAGCAGGACTTCTCAGTATTTTTTTCCTCCTCAGCCCCCCGGTCACTCCCTTTTTACTCCTGTGACCCCAGAGCATACAATTTTTGTACCCATATCCCTGAAGTATTTTCATTGTTTCTTTGCCAAAACGCTGTCGTGCATAGTACATTGTGACTTTTTAAATCTGTTTTTGTTGTGTCACATATGGTCAAAATTAGGTTAGGAACTCCTGGTCTGGCTTCATAGTGTCATTGGTTTTAAAACTAATAAAAGAAAGTTTTTTTTCACATAGCATGTAGTCAACCTGTGGAACTCCTTGCCAGAGGAGGCTGTGAAGGCTAGGACTATAATAGAGTTTAAAGAGAAGCTAGTTAATTTCATGGAGGTTAGGTCCATAAAAGGCTATTAGTCAGGGGATAGAAATGGTATCTCTGGCCTCTGTTTGTCAGAGGCTGGAGAAGGATGGCAGGAGACAAATCGCTTGATCCCTGTCTTCGGTCCACCCTCTCTGGGGCACTTGGTGCTGGCCACTATCGGCAGACAGGATACTGGGCTAGATGGACCTTTGGTCTGACCCAGTACGGCCATTCTTATGTTCTTAAACTTGGTTATAATTCAGTCCTGTAGCTGGCCAGGCAGGGGGTCCTTCAAGAGGGGAGGAAGAAACTTATCTTTGTAAACGGGGGGAAAGAACTCATTCCTAAAATAAGCTCAGGTTTAACCAGTCTGGGAAACACATGTGCCAAATACGGAAACAAAAATTTTCTAAGAAAACACGAAACACACACACACAACAAAAGTCCTCTTTCTGAAATGTAGTCCTCCCGCTATATCAGCCCGGTCCTGGTCATAATGCAGCTGTAGCTCATTTGTGGATCATCAAACACATTCTCTACTCCTCACTGTCCAAAACACGCGATTTCAAAATATCTCTGATACCATCCACTGCCAACTTAGAAGAGGCAACTAAGACTGACTTCTAAAGGTTCTCCACTTTATTATTATGTATCAGGGGAAAATGCCTTTTTTACTGCTTGGTAATAATAGCACATCCACTTCAAGTTAGCTGTGGTTGGTAGTCAATCCTAGTGTAGCTTTAATGAATAGTGTTTGGTTGATGACGCAAAGGTTTGGTCTACTATGGGAGATCCCACGTGTTCGCTTCTTTTCTGGGATCAACCCCAGTCACTTCCGTTCGGTGGAAGGGCATTTTAGAAAATGTAATATGAACTTAGCAATACACAAAATTTTATTTTGTATGATGAGGCAAAAGCAAATTGATCACATGTACTAGGAATGTTAAACTCTGGGCCTCTGAAACTTGCGTAGTGATTACACAGTTTTATAATTTATTTGCATTTGGGAAGCCAAAATATTTTAATCTTTGAATAATTTGGTTGCAAAGCACTACGAGAATGAAGAACGCCTGAGTTCTTGATATCTTTGCTCAGCTTTCGTCAGGTTTTGGAGCTATTGATTAATTGTACGTGTTCCAAATGCTATCAAAGAAAACACCACCCAATGTGTTCATTCCCCTGGTTTGAAAGTTCAGAGTATGAAGCACCTTCTCCCTTGGAGGTAAACTGGGACATACTTGGAAGCAGATTTGTCGATTAGTTGCCATTTCTGACCCTGCTGCTATAGGTGGCTGGCAACGTAAAACTCCATAAGCCGGTTCTTGTCATGCTGGTTTGACAATAAAGAGAGGAACTTCAATGTGCAATAGTTAAACAGGTTTATTTTTTTCTTATTTTGACTGTACATTATAATATCTCGTACAGTGTCTGACGCTGGGTTCTTGCACAAATTTCCACTCCATTATACTCTTGTCCCTTACAATTCCCCATTCATTTTCATTTGGAGACAGCATGTTTTACTTCCTGTTACAGGGAGCTTCCCAATGCAATTACTTCCTCTTCTAAACCACATAGTGATGAGACGTCAGCTGCATTTCGTGTGTCCCTGACTGGAGAAGTGAGATATCTGTATCTCTGATTAATCTCCCAGAAGTGCTGCCTGCCTGAATCAATTGTTCATAAAGTTCTTTGAGATCCTAGGGTAAAAGTGGCGATGGAAATGAAAAGTCTGTTATAATTCTTCTATTTCCGTACAGGCGAAATGGTATAAAAAGACGTGACTTTGACACTTTCTGCAGGACGACCCCTACTGTAACCACACTTGGAATCAAATGGGGAGGCTTGTGGAGATGGTTGTCAGAGGCCAAGTTTAGGAGTTCTAGACCTGTCCCTGCCACTGACTCACTCTTTGAACTTTGTCCAGATTCGGGATGGGAAAGGTTAATTTGTTACCTGGTAAACATCACCCATAATGGGTGATGCTTGCTGGTTCTGATTAACTGGCGGAGGTTGGAGCACCCACTCCGGCCCAGCTGCGGTGGGTGGCGGGCCCATTCCAGCCCTGCTGGGCTAGAGTGGCCCTCCCGCATTTCCCTCTTTAATTGCTTAACTGGTTAATTTATCCAATTAAACAGGATTTTACGTCCCTAGTCCAGATTTCTACCTTCTCTCTGCCTCAGTCTGTCCACCTGTAAAATGCTGGATGCTGATAGTCCCGATAGCGTATGGTGAGATTCCTCGATCCATCCAGGCCTTTGGTTCGACAGGGAGTTACTCTTGACATGAGTGAGATGCTGGTATTATTTTATTGTTTTGTTAGAAGATTTACCCAGGGTGCCTTGGGCCCTTAACTCCATCACTTTTTGTTTTTTTGAATATGTGTGGGGGGGGGGGGGGGGGGGGGGCTCAGTGTGCAGACTGCCCTGGGGAGAGAGGACTACCCCAGCCCCCCCAAAAATATAGCAGAGATCTGTCCCTGTCTCCAGCCTCGCCTCCTGCTGCCCTGGCAGGGTAATAGCTGTCTGCTTCTCTCTTTTCGACAGGCCAAACGTTTGTGCGGAGCAAGAGCTGGTGATAGTGGGGCATAGGCAGCCATGTGTCCAAGCTTTCACTCGGATGGTCAAAGTGTGGAAACCGGGCTGCGGAGGCCAGATGTGGTGCACTGGCTATGAACGGAGGTAGGTGCTTTTCTCTCTTGCTGTGTGGAAATGGACATTTTCCCCCCCTTCCGAGTGGAAAGGCTAACCCGACCAGGCCCAGTCCACACCGGCACTGTACAGTGCTGAAGCTCTCTGGCTCAGGGCTGTGAGAAAACGCTCCCTCCTTGGGCATGACAAATTACAGCGCTGTAAAGCACCAGTGGTCCCGTGAAGCTGTGGGGCAGCCCAGCTTCACAGGTGATTAATCAGCCCCGCCCAGTCAGAGGCTCAGGGCTCTGTGCATGGATCTGACTGACTGGGAAGCTGTGCGGCTGTGCAATTTAGAGGGAACGCTGCTTGGCACTCCTGCTGCCCGGGAGCTGCTCAAGATCAGCCCCTCCTGCTGCCTGGGAGCCGCTCCAGGTCAGCCCCTCCTGCCCCAGCTCTAATCCTCTCCAAAGCCGGAGCCCCCTCATACACCGCAAAGCTCCATCCTCAGCCCCACCGCAGAGCCCGCGCTCCAGTCATATTCCGTTGGGTCGCGGCATCAACAAGTTGCTTCAACTGGGTCATGAGACAAAAAGTTTGAAAACCCTCTGGCCTAAAGAATTAGTTGAGCGGCTGACCCAAAGCTAGCTAGGAAGACACGTGCAGGGAAACCGGTGGCTCACAGCCACAGATTAGCTATCAGTGGTGCAGCTATTTAATCCCACCATGGTCTGCCTAGAAACAGGGCTGTCCCAGAGGACTTTGTGAATCTTGAAACATAATCATGGGACAGGGACCGTATATTCCTGTGTATTTGCACAGCGCCTACTGCAATGGGCCCTGATTCCAGCTGGTGTCTGTGGGTGCCAGGCTAGTATAATTACTAGAGCTGTCAAGTGATTAAAACAATTAATCGTGCGCGCCTCCCCTTTGAAATGCCGCAGCGGCGTTTCGACGGGGCAGCACTGCATGGAGCCCGGGATCAGCTGGAGTCCCCAGCTGACCCCAGGCTCCATGCAGCATTGCCTCTTGGAAGTGCTGCGGCATTTCCAAAGGGCAGCACATTAGGAGCCTGGGATCAGCTGGGGACTCTAGCTGATCCCCGGTTCTGCTGTTGCAAATCCCCTTTGAAGCGCCGGAGCAGCACTTCAAAGGGGCTTTGCAATGCGGAGCCAGGGATCAGCTGGGCATCCCGGCTCCACATTGCAAAGCCCCTTTGGAGTGTTCTTAACTTGCCTTTTACTTGATTACTACTTGGCTAGTTATGGTTACTGTCGCTGGTTAAGAACTGCCTGCATTCTGTTAGCTTTTATGACCATGGCTTCCGTCGCTTCCACCCCAGCCCACTTGTTTGTCTCACCCTCCTGTTAAGGCTTGTCTGTGGGCTGTAAGCTCGTAGGAGCAGGGACTGCCTTTTACCTCCTGTTTGTTCGGCATCTGTCCCAGCGGGGCCCCATGCTGGTTGCTCTCAGCAAGCGATGCAACCTCATAATGTTTAGTATTAGCCAGGCTGGTTTGTGGGAAGAGGCTCTTCTGAAACCCTGTCGTCTTCTCCTCCCTTTACTCACATCCCACCCTGGTGCTTATTTTGTGTCTGTCCACCCCGTCAGCTGAGAGGGGCTGGAGGTGGCTTCTTCCAGAGCCCGTGATTAGCATTGCATGTGGTGGGCTACAAGGGTGCTGAAAAAGGACACAACTGGCTCTTTCCCAGTTGGAGCTGCTTGCCCTGATTCCACAGCCTTCCCCGCCTCCTTTGACCTCAAAGTCTCACACTCTCCACCCCTTCCTCCCAGAAGTATTTTAAGTGATGCCAAGTAAACAGTGACGAGCAAGAGCGGCTTGGGATTGTTAGTAGGAACTGACACAGGGTAATACATCACCAAGTGCAATATGACAGGAAAACACTGCAGAATAAATCCAGACCATCTTACTTCACAGAATATCATAAATGTCATTTTTTCTTATATATTGCGCTAGCGGCTGTTAAGAAAGAGGGTTAATGCCATGTAAAAATTCACTGTTTACTTTACATATCCTATTCCCTGCCACCTGGTACCATGCTCTGAGATGTCAGCACTTTATAAGTCTCCTTTAATGTCTCTGCGGAACATGAAAGAATTGCAGTGTTAAAGCTGAAAGTGAAAGGTGCATCTGATAAAAAAGCGCCAAATGCTGTACCTATTCCAGGGGATGGAGAAGCAGTTATTCAAACGGCTCTTTTGAGGGCAGGCAAAGAGAGAGGGCTGAGGTCCTCTCCCTGAACAGCTTCCCAAGTTGCTCTCATGAAAATAGAAGTCACAGACCTGCCCTCTTCTAAACGATCCTGGCCGAGGCAGCAGCCTCTTTTAAAGACCTTGAACCAGAAACACTGAACTATAAAGCAGCTCACAAAGAACTTGGATGTCCATACGATGCCGAGTTCGGGGGAGGCGCTGGGCGTCTACGCTGCGAATGTGGGTTGAATTTATTGTTGACTTTTTAGCACCTGACTTTGCAAAGTTGAAGGTGCATGGTCCTCAGTGGGCACATGCGGCTGACGGAGCGCATCCCCAGTAGCGTGGCTGCCTTTGACTGTAACAGGGGAGCATTGTGGGTTGCCATCCCACAGTTCCTGCCACTCATTTGCATCCTGGGTTAGGCTCCCAGTGCCTGATGGGGGACACACGGTACAGCTGGTGTTTCTGGGTACAAGTCCCTCCCATAATGTTCCTCCCTCCCTCCCTGTTTGAAAGCAACAACAAACAATCTTGTGCCATTTCCCCCGGTTATCTGTGCAGATGCCATAGCAGGGCGAGCATGGACCTCGCTCAGCTGCAAACTGCTGAGGCAGGCATTGCAAAGGCCTTGCGTGCTGTGTAGTGGTTTGTCCAGAGCCTCGCCAGGAGCCCCCAGAGAGAGGAAGAATGTGAGGTGGCCACAAACACAGACACGGGGAGACCCACTGAGTGGAGCATTTGGCATACGGTGTCCCGATCCGCACTGCTTCCCACAGCTCCCATTGGCTGGGAACGGCAATTCGCGGCTGACGGGGGCTGCAATCTCCCGTACCTGTGGAGGTGCAGGTAAATATTATAGCGGCCTGCCAGGGGCTAAGCCTGGTGAACTGCTGTCATTTTATTGCCCACCTCTGGTCTACAGGCTGAACTTGCTTATGCCGCACTTAGCAATGGAGTTCTCCTCTACAGGGCTCGGTTAAAAATTCCCTGGGTAAAATTCTATGAGCCGTGGCCGACGTAGAATCTGTGAATCCATGGACAACATGCCGCTGACCCTGGGCTCCCTTCCAGCCAGCACTGAGCAAGATGCATGTCAGATTTGCTGGAAAAAAAAGATTAAATGAGTGCAAGAGGCTGTCAGCAGCTCAGCCGTGGGCTCTGTGATGTGGAATTTGTTAACAGCAGACACGCACCGGTGATCATCTCGGCAACCTTGGAGCGCCGTTGAATGAGGCAGCGTGCGAGGCTGTGGAGGAAATCAGCGAGGAGTAAGGAGCTGGTGCTGCCAGGAGAGCCATCCTGTCTGCCCGGAGAAGTGGTGGCGGTGGTTGGGGAGATTCCCTATGGCGGGGTGTAACGGCTGTAACGAAGCAGGTGACTTCAGATTGGCTGGGATGCTTCTTTAAAAATGGGCGCAACGTAGAAAAGTCGGACCTGATTTAGCCCTGCTGTAGGCAGGGACAGCTATACTCAAGCCAGGCGAATGATACCTGCTGGTGCGGGGGATGAAGTTGGCCGTTGGTAGCTCAAGTGCAGGGATCTGAACTGGAAGTTGCTACAGGCGCTTCGCCTCTCTGCACGTCAGGCGAGCAGCAGCTGAGCCTGGTTCGGGAGCACGGCGGCCGGGCAGAGCTGGAGAAGTGGGCTGTGAAAGAAGGACACTGCGAAGGCTGAGTCCTGGATGTCTCCTCCGCTGGCTGCAGTCCTGGCTGTGGGGCCAAGCACAGACCTTGGGGTGATAATGCTTTCCGCCCCCTTTCCGTTCCCCCCTCCCTGTGGGCAGTGGGTTACCTAGGCGAGGGATGGCATTGCCTTCCCAGACCGGCCGACGCTCTCTGCCAGCTGCTCGGAAGGGCAAGGGTGGCAGCCCAGCTCCCCGGCCACCTGGGAGGGCTGGGGCCACAGCCCTGCTCTCCAGCTGGCCAGGAGGGACCAGGCGGCTGCCCCAGGTGCCCTGATCCCCTGGGAAAGGAGGAGCCACACCAATTGCTGGGATGGGGGACACAACAAGGGCTAGGGGATCAGGGGATTAGTTCTCTGACTGCTAGGGGCAGTGACCTAGGGTGGGGGGTCGGCTTGGTTCCATGGGGGTCTGAGGGAGGTTGCAGAAGGGGCGGAGCCTCTGGAGGAAGGGGCGGGGCTGGGGCTTGCCTTCCCCAGCGGGCCTTCAACCACCGCCTATACCTGTCCCCTTAAACAGTTATAAGCATTTTTTAAAAGACGCATCAGGATGCTAATTCCAAAGAGGTATCTTGGGGGTGGGGGAGGAGATGGCTTTTCAGCATTGGGGTTAAGGAATGGCTCTCAACCTAGCTTTGCCAGTAATGATCTTGGCGATATCATCTACATAATGGGAATAATGCAGCAAACAGACCCTGTGGTTTTCTATCATAGAGTCTGTCTCTTTGACTGTCTTTGAGGGAGCCCTTTGCAATGATAGGTGCCTTGTCGGCTGCCGCATCGAGGGCTGGTGCTTCTCTGGTCACAGGCGTCTGGTCCAGGTCTCTGATGTGTGTTTTTTGACATTGTAAATCAAGGAACTAAACCTGCATCATTTTCCAGCAGGAACATCTGTTTACTTGTGACCAGAAGTTCCATTGTATGCAGAATGAGGATGGAGGTTCAGTCTAACCATGTATTAGTATTGTGAGGGGTGTGGGCATACAACTGTGTAAACGGTTAACCGGTAAACCTGGGCTAATCGGTTAATGGTCACGGGTACACTCAGACTCCCACCCCACTCCTGGGGAATTGCCTGCTGATGCCTCTGATGCAAAGGCAGCGGGGTGGCAGGCAGGAGCCCGGTCCACACAGGGAGCTGGCTCCCAGCATGCACTGGCTCCCAGGGAGCTGGCTACGGGTGCTGGTAGCCACGTCACCTCTGAGTTTTTCAGTGCTGACGTGTTTACACGTTTACCCACATTTTCACACCCCTAAGTGTTAACTTGTTTGGGGAAAAAAGTGATTCTGTCTGCGTTTCGGTTTGGTCGATGCACTTGTTAGAGGATTTGCTGCTGGTGAAGTGAGCTGACAGGACAATCCCATAGACCGACGGTCTCTGACCCCAGCAGACGAAGTGCAGGCAGCCATAGCCCGCTCCACCCCCGAGGGGCCTTCGCCCGGCCGTTCCTATGTGAAAGAGAGGGCTGCATTCCCCAGGGCTTTCTAGGCCTCGGCCTCTTGATGAAGACTCCAAGCAAAGTTCGTGTGGCTAGTGGGTTTTTGGGGCGGCTCCCCAGGAGACCTCCGTGGCGTGTCTAGCTGCTTGACAGGGCTGCACGGAGACCAGTCTTGCAGAGCAACAGCACCTTGTCTGAGGAGGGAAACCGGAGCCCTCGGGAGCAGCCAGCTAGCGGCTTGGCAGGAAGAGTCACAAGAGGGGCCAACGGTGTCTCACCGTTCCAGGGTTGAGGACCGCGAGTGCGATCCAGAGCTGGGATTTAGTTTCTACCAGAAGCCATGGAGCTGCCCCTGAAAAATAAGCCAGATGCCAGGAACTTTTAACCCCTTTTGCCAGGCTGCTTCTGATGTCGTCTTCCTGCTGCCCTGGCTGGCGGCCGTTACTCTCTGGTCTGGTGCAGCTGAAGTCACTGGCCTGCAGGGTTACAGCCTCTGCGGGAGCATCATGCAGCCCCCGTTGCACCTGCCGGAGCTGCTCCGCTTGGGCTGTGCTCCAACCGTGCTGGGTTCAAGGAAACATCTGAACAGGCTCAGGATCTGACGCACCAGCCGGCTGGCCTGAGCTTGGCTGCGACTTATCTGAGTTAATGGACGTGAGTAGGAAAATGCAGCATCTGCTCTTCCTCTCCCCGCCGCAGTTTAGTGCTTCTGTGCAGTTTCACCTGCTTAATGAGGAGCAGCTGTCGGTAGGGCTGAGCTGAGACTAATCCAGGAAACTGCTGCGGTAATTAAAGATAGTCAGGCCTTACTGTCCCCGAGTGTGTTCTCGTGGCACTGAAGATGCCTATTGTTCTGAGCCTAAGCCAAAGGTGGGCCTGCTAACATGGATGGGGTGCGTACGGGTCAGACAAACCCCTTGTTTCATTTTTTTCCCAGGCTTTTTCTGGAGGATGGGGGCGAGCAACTGGACAGGGCAATGGAGAGCTGAAATTGCACAAGTTACTTTCGCTGTATATACAAATCCTAACCTGTGTGCCAGGGATGGGAACTGTTGTGGGTCGGGGGCTGCTGACAGACAGAAAAATCAGTCGGGGGTCACACACAAGCAAACACCAAAAAAACCCTCAACTGGAAAACAGAAAACCCTCCCCACATTCCCCCCCACACCAATGCCTCCACCCAAGCCAATAGATTTTGTGAGCCCCCCCTACATTCTGAGGTGAGGCTAAAATGAGGGGTTTAGTGTGTGGGAGAGGGCTGCCAAAAAGCAGGCTTGGGGTGTGGGATCTGGGAGGGTGCAGGAGAGCAGGCTGGGGGTAAGGGGTCTGGTTGGGATGGGGGGGCTCAAGGCTGGAGTGCCAACACCAGCTCCCTGATGCTGGCGGGGGGAAGCCCTGAGCCGTGGGTGCCAAATCCAGGCAAGCCAGGGGTCACATCTGGCCCCCGGGCCTTAGGTCCCCCAACCCTGCTATATGCATATCTTTTAGCGACTGGCCAGCGCACTGCAGAGTGGCACAACAGATCTTACTCGATATGATTTGGCAGTAAAATAGCATCGTACGCAATCCGTTGCTTTAGTTGCTCACTTTGGAGGGTTAAGCTTTCTGCTTTCCCCTCAGAGCATCTGGTGGATGGACCTAGAGTTAGTGGAGTCTGAGAGAGTTTTATTGTGTGTGGACACTGCTATCAAAAGCAATAGTGGATGTTTTTATAAAATTTGTACCTGGGCCAAGATTATTGGGACTGTCATATTTTATAAAAATAAATAACACTTTCTGCTAGAAAATTGACTGCAGGGAGCAATCCTTCATGGACCTGGGCCGTAGTGCTGGTGGAATCGATTATCCGATAGGCCTTGTAGTTTCTATGATTCTGTGGGCCTGCTGGGTGTGTAAGATGTGGGGCCTCAAGACGTGGTGTTTGCTGGTTGAGAGTGTGAAGAACTGTTTTGCAGTGGCTAAATTAAACATCCAAGGTGTTGTGTAGCTCGCTGCTCCTGGACATGGCGTAGTTGTGGTGCTATTTGTGCCTGTTTTGACAACAGGGAGTGTAGTTTGACAAAGCCGTCAGTATTCACACCCTGAAGCATGTATGCCGCCTACTCAAGCGTCTGTAAATGGATCTCTCATCAGCAGGACACCACAGTATTTTTGTGAGATGCTGTTCCATTAGCGCTGCGCGTTTTGAATGACTCTGGGCCAGGCACTGGAAAGGAGAAAACAAAAGGGAAGATAAATAATCCTTTTGACAGCTCTTTCCACACCTCCTTATTCCACCTTCCGCTGCTGTCTCTGTATCAGGCAGGAGCTGGTGTTGGCTCGAGGACTCTGGAGGAGCAGGGGGTGGAAACGCAGCCAGTGGCTGGAGAAAAGCATCACTTTGAAGGGGAAACCACTTGCTGCATAGCCACCCCCTGCTCCTCCCGGATCCTCCAGCCCGTGCTCCTGCTGCTCACCACCTCCTGACGCGCTCACCCAGGCCGGGTTGAAATACCTGTTGCTTTTAGAAATGGACTTTCCTTTGACAAGCGATGGCTGAAATGAGGGGGAAAGCGATGGCACAAAACATCTGCTGGGGATGGGCTAGATCAGTGGGTTTCAAACTTGGTTTTCCATGGGCCACCTGAACATTTCCGAGAGTTTGGGCAGACCCCTTTGGTCTGTCCAAATGGCAGCTACAGAGCTAGGGCTGGGAAAGGTGGACCTCTCTCCCCGGCAGCTACAGCCCTACAGCTAGGGACAATTGCTTTTTCTGGCCACCGCAGCCCTGCAGGTCTCAGATCTTCCCCACCCCTTCTTCTCACCCCGCTGCCTCACCCTGATGCCCCCCATCTACCTTCTGTTCCTCCCAGGGCGCCACCTCGCCTTACGTGCTCATCCTCTCCAGGGTTCAGGCACCGAATTAGTGGAGCGACACCTGCATGGCTCTGCTAACTAGGTGGGCAGCCCTTCATTCTCTCATGTGAAGCCACCCAGGTGGGCACCTTGGAGGCACCTTGGGGAAGGGATAGCTCAGTGGTTTGAGCAGGCTTGCTAAACCCAAGGTGGTGAGTTCAATCCTTGAGGAGGCCATTTAGGGATTTGGGGCCAAAATTGTCAGAGATGGTACTTGGCCCTTCTGTGAGGGCAGGGGTCTGGACTCGATGACCTTTCAAGGTCCCTTCCAGTTCTAGCAGATAGGCAATCTCCATTAATTAATTTAATTGCCCCGAATGGAGCTCATGGTCCGCAGACTGTGGTTTGAGAACTTCTGCTCTAGATGGTGCTTAGTCCTGCCAAGACAGGGCTGGACTTGATAGCTTTGTGAGTTTCCTTCCAGGCCTATGCAAACTGCAAAAGAATTAATGACACACAAAAGAAGAAAAGCGTTTGGCTTTTTCTGGAGCCCATTCCCCCGGGTTTTCTCCTCCGTGTTTAAATCTGAGTTGAAAAACATTCGGTTAAGGCCCAAAGTTATTATTCGAATCAGTGGAAAAGTACTGTATTTGAAATTGAATTTTTTTAATTTAGGTGCCACCGTCAGCACTGAATCTTTCCCTGTGCTGCCCTTTCATACTAAACCCTCCTCCTCCGAGAGTTCACGGGGCTTGTGTTTTGTGTTTTAGAACGGCGTACTACACGGACTACAGGCAGGTGTACAGCATGGAGTACCAGACCGTGTACAAGTGCTGCCCGGGATGGTCCCAGCTCGGAGGGGATGCTGGCTGTCTCTACTGTAAGTACCACTGCATACCAATGAGGTTTTACTCTTGGGCCAGTTGCCTTTGCATGCTCATTTTATGGCCTGTGCACTGCAGCAGTTTCTATAAACCCCTCTCTTAGGCCACGTCTCCACTTGCCGTTCTGATCGATCTTCTGGTGTTTGATTTGGCAGTTCTAATAAAGACCTGCTAAATTGAGTGCTGAGGGCTATCCCAGTCGGCACAGGTACTCGTTGTCGCAAGCAGTAAGGGAAGTTGATGGAAACGTTTGCTCCTGTCGACAGGGACGGCCCGTGACTATTGGCGGACTTGGGCGCAACCTATGGCGCTGCTGCCCAGCATGCCCGATGATGATGTCACGGGGTGCGTGGGGTGCCCGATGATGATGTCAGTCAATTGATGGCCCTGCAGGTGGGGGTGCTGATAGTGCGTTCCGCCTGGGGCGCCAGCTGCTGCAGCCGGCCTCGGGCCATTCCTGTCTGTCGACCTTCCACTCTGAAGATGGCACCAAGATTGGCTTAAGGTATATGGACTCCAGCTATGTTATTTACGTAGCTGGAGTTGCAAACCTTAAGCCAACCTTCTGGGTCTAGTATTGACCTGGCCTTAGAAAGATACTTTCTTTTATTAAGAGGGAAAGTTTCTCTCTAAACTCCTATGAAGCCTCTTTATTACCCAGTTGCCAAAAGCTACTAACATTTTAAAGTGCTTCACAGCCTGGTGATTGATACTATCCTTCTGGCAGAAGCGGTGGAAAGCTGTAATCCAAGCTCTGAGTGGAGTTATCATTAAGTATAATACTAATTGTTGGCTGGCTATGTAAGCGAACATGCCAGTGATAGCTAGCTCGGATGCCCAGGAATTCCTCTTGCTTTGTATTCTCTGGAACAACTTTTTGCCTTTTCATCATAAGAGGATGCCTGGGGAGTGAAGTTTCTGAACAAATGAAGTGCCTTGAACTGTTTGCATACAAAGCTGTGCTTCAGTACTGTGTTTCAGGAGCCCTGTGAGATTTGGCTGGAAACGTACTGGCCCTCAGCTGTGTGCTTCCTGTTTTGTTTGCCCCTCCCTGCACTTATAAATGAGACTGAGAGAGAGAGGGAGGGGTTCATTCATGAATTTACGTGTAAAGGGAAATGCCTGCCCTGTCTTGAAAAGGATCAAATGTGTCAAATGATCTTTTGGTTCTAGTTTAGGATTTTTCATGGTTGGGCTTCCACTGGCAGAACTTGAGGCTCTCTCTGTCCCCTCCTTTTAGGCTGGTTTCCTGGGATTTCTTATGCTGCTGGGGTTCAGTACTGTCATGACCTCAACTGAAGATGTTAGTGTCACATTCTGAGAACAGGGAGTAGCCATCCAGTATGAATAAGCTGGGGCTGTGATATCTCGAGTGAGGGACTTGGAGTGAAGACTGCTGGGTACTGCTGTGCTTTACAACTTTTGACAAATTGCCCTTTGCCCCAATTTAACCATCTGTACAATGGGTAGAAAAGTACCTACTTCGTAAGTGTGTTGCAATGCTCCCTTTAATCTTATTTTATAAAATATTTTAAAATTTCTTGATGGATCATGCTATGGAAGTGCAAAATATTATTAGTATTTCCTGTGTTTTTATTATGGAACAAGACTGATTAAATGGTATATTTGGATAGCTTGAAAAAAAAAAATCTCCTGGATCATACAGAGATCTAGCCACACACGTACATAGAAATAAAATAGTGATACAGATGTAGCCGTGTTAGTCTGGTGTAGCTGAAACAAAATACAGGACTATATAGCACTTTAAAGACTAACAAGATGGTTTATTAGATGATGAGCTTTCGTGGGCCAGACCCACTTCCTCAGATCAAATAGTGGAAGAAAATAGTCACAGCCATATATACCAAAGGATACAATTTTAAAAAATGAACACATATGAAAAGGACAAATCACATTTCAGAACAGAAGGGAGATGCGGGGGAGGTAAATGTCTGTGAGCTAATGGTATTAGAGGTGATAATTGGGGAAGCTATCTTTGTAATGGGTAAGATAGCTAGAGTCTTTGTTGAGCCCCCCGCGTAGAGTGTCGAATAGCATTCGACACTC